AAATAAAAGGAACAGACAATTAACAAAAACAAACAAAAAGACAAAAGCAGTATTGTGGCATCCTTAAAACTAACAGATGTATTTCAGTATGCGATTATTTGAATCACAATTCACTTCAGATACAAGTGGATTGTAATCCCTGAAACTTCACATTGATTTGTTAGTCTTAAAGTCATCACAACACTTTTTTTTCATTGTTGTTCTGTTTTTGCAAAATGCACTAACATCTCTCTCTTTGAAAACAGTAATAATCAGTGTATTAAGTCATAAAACAACCTACTGAGATTTACTTTTGAAACACTGTTGTAATTAATGGGAATGCACCCTATTTCAAAATGTATGTCTTCAAATTCTGGTGTGAAGAAGATCTAACTTCCACTTCTGACTTTTTTCTTTTAAAAAAAATGCCAAAAGAAATGTATAGAGAAATACTTGTGAAAGCAAAGAGTGAGGGAGGCTCATCACCAAATTCTTCAGAATAATTGATAACTTCACTTTGCCTCCCTGAAACATGCTCAGCCCACAGAGGAATGTGTGTGTGAGGGAAAGAGATTCAAGTAATGGCAGGGGAGGGAACTGTGTTAATCTTACTTAGGCTTCTGAGAAAATCATTCAGCTTTTGGTTGTGGTTGTCCTTCCTTATATTGTGAAAACAACCAATAATTTCTGGATGGATATCTCAATAAATACATCAAATTGAAAACTGATTTTTATTTTACTCTTTCCCCTAGGCTGAGGGCTGATTTCAATCATGTGCTGGTCATGCTAACCAGCTCTTAAAGTTGTTGTTGTGACATGTTGGAAAGCCACCTCCAACTTACGGCAACCCTATGAACGAGCCATTCCTGCTTAGTTCTTGTAAACTCAAGCCTGCAGCTTCCTTTAAGGAGTCAGTCCACCTTGTATTCAGCCTTCCTCTTTTTTGTTTGGAGGCAACTTGACAGCAGATAGCAACAACAACATTCTGCTTTAACTGGAAAGGATCAATCTGAACTGTTCTTTAACATCTCAAACCAGTTGAAAAGAGAAATCAGCCCTATTTTGCATCGCGTTCTAGTACGCTGTAACTTCACATTCACCTGGACAACATCCCAGCTCCAATTTATAAGCCTACCTGTAAAAGCCATTAGGCCGATCTGCATGAGGGACGGGGCCTTCACAGCACTGGCCCCCACCTATGGAACCATTTCAAGCAATGATCCTCCAAGCCCTACCAGTACAGGCATTCAAGCAGGCCCTCAAGACTCATCCATCTAGTCTGCTCCATACAACCAAGCCAGGACTCTACTAGGGGTGTCATAATACAGGGCTAGCTAGTTGCAACCATTAATTTTGATTTGATCATTGTGTTACATATATCACTGTTTATATCTTTTTATTTTGTTGCACACCACCTCTTAAAAGTGGCTTATAGATATTTCAAATAAGACATGGCCATTAACTTTGATTTGATCATTGTGTTTCATATATCACCGTTTATATCTTTGTTGTACACCACCTCTTAAAGGTGGCTTATAGATATTTCAAATAAGACATGGACACTCATTTCTGACTTGAGTTTGTCTCTCAGAGCTATTTAAAATCTGCTTATTGATTGAAAAATCTATCCAACCCCTGCCTCTTTCAATCCTTTCCAGCAGAATATGGCCAGTGGCCAATACCTCTCCACCCAACAAACAGCCATTAAAAGACTGGAAGCAGGGCAATTGGGAGGGGGTGTGTGTATGGGAAGTTTTCCATCCTTGTGCTCTCCACCTTAGAGGTGGTCTCTCATACTGACGTTGGACACAACTAAGTAGGCCGGTCAGGACTGATGGGAGTGACAGCCCCAAAACATCTGGAGGGCGACATTTTGCCCACCCTTGTGGCTCTCCATTACAGCTGTATTTACAAAGGACCTGAACTTTCTACAAGGAATATATTGCACTCAATCTTCCAATCAATTCACAACATCACAGCGTGAGAAGCGGGTGAGGCACTCCCAGCACAGAATACGCCACAAAAATTGTGTAGTTTTATTCCCTGGGGATCAACAGAGCCTCTACCAGTTGAAACGCTGGCTGCCCCTTAAGGGGCTCGCTCTCAGGAGTGAAAAGCGCGTCAGCCTTGGGTTTCCCGGGGACCCCTAAAACCTAAGCTGACCACCGGAGCTTTTGGGCTTCCCCCCGTCCCGCATGGCGGCACCTTCATGGCCCGGATGGCCTCCCAGCCCTGGCGAACGTTCCCGATTTCCTCGTAAAGGCTCTGCTGCGGCAGCAGAAGCTGGTTGAGGATCTGCAGGGAACCCCGGCGGTACCGGATGGCTTCCAAACTCATGGCTGACTTCGGGTCCGACGACAGGAGGCGGAACCGCATCCAGCAGCTGCAGAGGAAAGGCGGCCCCGTCGGGTTGGCTCCGGCGTCTGTCCGCTGGGTCCTAGATAGCACCGATCAACGCGGCGCGCCTCCTCTCTCGGTCGGCGTATCGAAGCAGTAGATTGCCTGCACGAGGTGGCTTTTTCCGGGTTTTCTTTCCCATTAATTTCAATTCAAGCCTTAACCGGCTCTTTCGGGAAAATAAGGGCATCTAAAGTCCAGCAATAAACTCAGGGTCCCCTTATGTCCGAGGAAGTAGATTGCCAGATAAGACGTGTAGTTTAAGATCGCTTTCTTTTCGTTTTACACTGAAGAAAACTCTCTCGCCTGGTCCCGATCCGCATCAGGGTCAGCAGGGGCGGGGGGCGGAAGGTGTAAGTCTTCCCCCGAAGCAGATTTTTCTGTTAAGGTCACCCGCTAAATCCGAGCGCAAGAAGTGTTAAAAACAGGAGTAGACTATTTTATTTGCCTACCCTTTCCTGATGAGACTGGGCAAGGTGACTCCTTAAGGGCGTCTTACAATTGGAATGAGGGCATTTAAAGACCTGGCACTGAATGGGAATGGGACGCATGTATCTTCTCAATAGCCTTTCAAGGAAGGAAACCACCAGACCAACTTTATCCTGTGTTTGTAGCACTCTTCATGAGAGCCCGCATATTCTTCCCCCGATATAGATCAGGTCAAATGCCTCCAGTGCCGGCAGTGAAAAGTTGTCATGAAGATATACACGCGCGCACACACAAAATTTAATATCAGACAGCAGTTCTTACTGCGAGGAAAACAATACTGCAATTTTGCTTCTATTGAATGTGGGTGGAATTCCTTTGAACACCATGGGCCTGTGCCTGATATACAGTAGCTCCACAGCCCAATTCCTCCCTGAGACAGATCATCCGGATGCATTTCAGCCTGGCTTCAGGGGCCTTTGAACACCATGAGCCTGTGCCTGATATAGCTCCACAGCCCAATTCCTCCCTGAGACAGATCATCCGGATCCATTTCAACCTGGCTTCAGGGTTGTCCTGGGTGGAGACAGCTTTGGTTGCCTTGGTGGGTGGCAACAGGCCAGGTGGTGTTTCTCCCTTCTGTTCCTGCTGGTCCTCTCTACAGCTTCCAGTATCACCAACCATGCCATTCTTTGAGGCTGTCTCTCTTGGATGTAACTTAAGGCACTTTTTATGGTGTCTCTGAGGGGAGATCTATTTATTTATTTATTATTTATTTATTTATTACATTTCTATCCCGCCCATCTTGTCATTTCGACTACTCTGGGCGGCATACATCAAACACAACAAAGACAATTAAAATAATATCAATGTTCAAAAATAAAATAAATAATTGTTCAAGATGGCAAGCAAAAATAAATCAAATAATAGCCGGAGGGAAGGCCTGCCTGAACAGCCATGTTTTTAATTGTCTTTTAAAGACACCCGGCGAAGGGGCCATACGGATCTCTGAAGGTAAGTTGTTCTACAGCCGAGGAGCCACTGCCGAGAAGGCACGGTTTCTTGTTTTTTCCTTCTGGGCCTCTCTCGGCGTTAGGCCCCTCAGTTGCACCTCCAGACTAGATCGAGTGAAATGGGTAGACTTTGGTGGGAGAAGGCGTTCCGTCAAATAACGAGGTCCTAAACCGTTAAGGGCTTTATAAGTACTATAATCATTAATACTTTGAAATCGATGCAGAAGCATACGGGCAGCCAATTCAATGCAGCCAGAGTGGGAGATATATGATGATGTTTCCTCACCCCACTAATAAGTCTCACCCCATCTAAGAAGGTGGTGCTGAGAAAGATTGTGGGGATGAGTGCTTTTGTCTAAAACGTTACATCCAGCTTAGTACATCACCAGAGTACCACCCACAATCATGCCTCACATCCTTTTGGAAAATGAAACAACTGGCCTCATGCAGTAAAGGCATTCAAATCATTTATTTTTAAAAAGTAGAAGCCTCAGTGACATAGAAAAAATACTTCATATCAAGAGCAAAATGGGCTGGACTGATTTGAATTGACTATTACATCATGTGATTATTTTTTTAAAAAAAGTGAATTCATCCATTTTACACCCGTAGCAAGTCCCTCAGGTATGGCCTCAGTCCACCACTTGTGCAAAATAAGGGGTCTCTCTTGCTCCTCTCTGTTTCCATGCAACTGGAACAAAAAGGGGGCTGAGGTAAACAGTGCCTTGAAGCTTGGTATAGGACCCTGTGTGCACCAGACTGATTCAATGCGTCATAAGGAAGCATTATTTAGTTCTGCTGAAGTGAACAGGTGTCTATTCATGCACCTACATATATAGGTGGATTTAGGGACAATGTGTTTGTTTATTAACATTTTATCCAGATGGCCACTGGCTTTTTCTGATACATCTCCAGTTCATTGGCTATAATCCTATTGTGTAATTTCATGTGTGTGGTAATTGTGCTGTTGCTGAGGTGAAAATTGCTATTCCCAAAGCACTTCTGTTGGTATAATGTGCAGCCAGTAATGCTGGGGATGTCAGTTGTGGAATAAGAAAGCATAATTCAGTGTAGTTGGGTATAACACCTGACATATTTACCTGGACACTGGTCATTTTCTAAATACCAAACAGGTCTGGAAACAATATCCATGGTATAAAGCTGGGCAGACTCTATGGGATTGGTATACAGCTTCCAACTGTAGTATGGTGGCAACTGTCTTCTGACTCTTTAAAATCTGCTCTTCCAAGCCATTTCTAATGTGTTTGTTGTTTCTTTGCATATTCTATTATTATCCAACTTACTGCTAAATCACAGTAAGTTGGATAATAATAGAATATACAAAGACTCCTAATATTATAAAGCAATTTTAAGCATTTTCATTTTCATTGTTAATTTTCATTAACAATTCAAGTGTTAAAATCTAATTACTTCAACTTGATTACAGGTAAAATAAGCTGCTCTTTTAATTTTTAATAACCAATTTAATAACCAATTTAATAACCAATAATATTGATGTAGCAGCTCACTTGCTTTGGCTGGGATTGTGATAGAAGAGTGTTACTGTCCCTGAGAAATTCAACAAAATAGTTCTAGAATAGTGCTTCCTGGTTTGAGGGGATTTCATTTTGTCTGTTCAAAAGAAAACTGTTTATTCTGTAACGGTCTTATAGACTTCACAGATTTCTGCCATGGGAATTATTGTAGACTGGAGCCATAATGTCAAGCAAGTATGTTTTACTATTGTTTTTATATTAGCCACTGTAATGATTGAATGGGGGATATTGAACAGAGTCTGTGTGCATATGTTGGAACAGGATGGTGAGATCTCTGACCACATAAAGGGTACCTATGTGCATATTAACTGCATGAGTGTAGAAGACTGCAGAAAAGACAGTGGGGTAGTAGTCTGCAGCCACAGTCCTGCTTGACTTCTTCCATATGTTCAGCATGTCTTCTGTGAACTATGAAACAGAATTCAAACACTCCAGAAGATGGGTGACAGTTTAGGGCAGACCCGTGATACCTGCGGCCCTAAGGATGTTGTTAGATTCTAATCCCTACCAAGTCCAAACACCCTGGCCAGGTTCACTAAGTGCAGATGGTGGCAGCTCCTGTCCATGCCATCTCTAAGGCTAGGACAGAATGAGAATCAGAATTTGGAATTTAGTTTTGAAAAGCAATTTGCTGTGTTACTTGTTACAAAGCCCATAAAATAATTTGCTACTGTTAAGGATGTAATAGCCAAAATCCTCTTGTGTAGCTATGCAGATGGCATGAAATGTGGAAGCAAAATGGCCCCATGTTAAGAAATCATCACAGATATTATCAGTTGCATTGACACAACTCAGCATGCAACTGAGAATTATACAGTGATTTGAGGCAATTCACCTTCAACAGCTTCACCATTTGTGCTATGCCAGCCTAACTAGGTTAGAGAAATCGGACCAATGTAAAAAGTAATACCTGGATCAGGTGGAATGTCACCACTTATACAAAGTGGGTGGCAAGTAGGAGACTTGCTGACCCTGGCCTGGGTGGCAGGTGGTTCCTCCTCCATCCTCTGAGCCATAGACTCAACAACAGGTGCTTCTAACAAAGGTTTATTCCAACTGGCAGAAGGTGTACAAAGAAACAATTGTCACTAGCTTGCCTTGCTTTGGCGGCTTGTTGACTCTATTAGATCTGCTTCAGTCTCAGATTTCTCCCCTCCCCAACTTAATGTCACCAGGTCAAGTGAGTGTTTCTGGTCAGTCTGGGACTCCATGACAGCCAGAACCTTGAGGCATAGAGGAGCAAGGAAGGGTATGCTCACAGCAAGGACAGGCCTCTTTTTTTAACATTTTATTAGTTTTTCAACAAGGAAGGGTATGCTCACAGCGAGGACAGGTCTCTCTCTCTCTCTCTCTTTTACATTTTATTAGTTTTTCAATCTATCTACATTGGTTTGTGCTTGTCAAACATCGTGTTACATACTTTGCTTACAATTATTTGTTTTTTACATCTCAGTGTCTTCCCGGTTGTCTCCCCACATTCCAGACATCTTTCAGACATTCAAACCATTCATGTACATATTTTAGTATATAATATGACTACT